GTTTTACAAAAATGAAGTCTGTTCTAAAGCATCTCCTCCAGCTCTGAATGTTCCGGCATGTTGGCTTTAAAGAATCAGTGACATTATTTTATAGAAATGCTTTGTGGCTAGAGCTGGGGCTGGGTGGCAACTTTCTGTAAGTGGTCAGAGAGTGAGAGCACATGTTTTATCCTTGCTAGCCATAGTGGCCTCTGGTACATGTTCTTCTTTCTCTCACTCTCTCTATTTTTTTTTAACTGCTTAAATGTGTACAAATCCCTCTTAGCCCTCCGAGTGTTGTCTAGGGGCCATAGTTTGGAGAGCCTTGACTGCGCTTTACTCACAAGTCTGTCCTGAATTCTACCCTGGGCAGGAGTCCCTCATCGTTATTTCAGTACTCCAGCCAAGAAGCTCTTACCTTGGTGCCAAAACTTACAATTTTTTTAAACATCTCTCTCCCCTCACTGCAAGGCTCAGTGTCTCTCCGGAGCAGGCAGCTGCCAACTGCCGTCCTGTCTCAGGCCCAGGAAAGTGCAGAAGGCGCCTTGGTATTTTAGTTTCATCACTTCCTGGGGAACAGCGCTGAGACATTTGCAGAAACTTCTTGGAGATCCATAATCAATGTCTAGAATTTTTTCCTAAATGCTTGTCACCAGGATGTAATTTCTAGTCCCTTTCCATCTACTAATCCTGTGTGATTGGTTTATCTTCCTGTTCCCATTTGGGTGTGTGAGATGTTGAAAAATACACTTTTTCCTCTTAATTTAGAATTTCAGCTCTGATTTTACAAGTGGATTATTATTCTTACTCTTCTTTGAAGATCTAAAAAAAAAACCCCCATTGAAAACTGAAAAACAAAGCAATTTCAATAGGTCCTCTTTATTTCCTTCCCTCTGCACTCCAGAATCCCGTTGCTGACTTTTCCCTCCATCCTGGGTGGCAGGGAGTGCTGATCTGTTTTTTGCTGGCCTCCTCTCCCCTCTGCTCAGAGGGCCCGTGCTAGCTCTGGGGTGTGACAACTCACCCAGTTGCTGCATTTGTTTGCACCTTAGTTTACACTTTAAAGTGCAGTCCCTGCTGTGACACCCTCAGGTTCCCAGGGTGGTGCCTTACTGCCCGGGGGCCCTTTTGTGGCCGTAGATTCTGGTCCTGAGACCCGGCAGGAACTCTTTCCTCCCCAGAACCATTCAGGTGAAGCACGAAGCACTTTGGGAGAAACAACCTGTTAATTATCCACAGATTCTCCCTTTGTGTTTGTCAGCAGGGTCACCTCAGAACTTGGTGGGTCTGGGATGGGCCAGAATATGTGCATTTCTCACGAGTTCCCAGGCCTCACTAAGAACCTCTGTTCCCAGTTCCTTGCAACCAGGCTTGTGTTAGACCTGAGCATAAATTCCACTGACTTATAATTTTCTTCAATAGGTCAGTTACCACAAATAGCAATTTAAATTAACCACTGGAACATGGGTAATCACGGCATGGTGTATGGAATAGGATTTCTCTGCTCTGAATCTTGATTCAGAGACAGAGTGTCTGAGGGATGCCTGCCGCATGCAGATGCCCACAGAGCTTCTCATGTAGGCAGGGCCCTAACAGTGTCATTGTGGCCCTGGGTCGTCTGCTGAATCAGCGTTTCTTCAGATGAGAGATTAAAAGTTACAGCCCCCTGCTGTGCTCCTGTGTTGTCCTGAGGTACTACCGGTGTCTTTAAAGGCGATGCCTCTGTGGAGAGATAAGCAGGGATCTGATTTGCCACAAAGAAAGAGTCACATTGTCTGCCTGGCGCTGGCCTGGGAGCCTCGCCCTGGACAGTGAGCAGAAGCCCCGGCCATCCTGTCCGCCCCAGACCAGCTTCGTTCTTTCTGAATGTGTAAGCTTTGAAGTCTACACGGGATAAAAAAAATAGCAACTGTGCCCAAGTAGGCACTGTTTATTTTTAGAATGCTATTTAAAAAAAGGCAACCGTGGAAGTGAAGGATTTGGTTCTATGTTCTGTTGGTTGATAGTCTGTGTATCATATGAAGAAATTAAAAGAGCACGGTCTTCTAAAGAGAAATGTATACATTTATACTGTAAACAAATAAAAAAGTGTATTTGCAAAATTCCTGACAAAGTAGGCTTTTAATAAATGGCAGTCATTATTATAGCTTTAAAATAGGCAAAAATTACTTCATAGCTCTTTATAATTTTTGGACTGAGGATTTTAATATAAAAACATCCTAGCCCTGGCTGGGGGGGCTTGGCTGGTTGGAGCATTGTCCTGTACACCAACCAAAAGGTGGCGGGTTCGATTCCCTGTCAGGGCACATACCTAGGTTCTGAATTTGATCAGGCTTGTTGGGGAGGCAACCAATCTCTCTCTCTCTCCCTCTCTCCCCCTTCTCCTGTAGCTCCCCTGTAAAATCAATGAAAAAATATCCTCAGGTGAGGATTAGAAAATAACATCCTAAAAGAAGGTACTGATTTTATAACTTTTTATTACTTAGAATGTGTTCCAATTTTGAAATAGACTTACTTTCCTGATATGCTTTGGAGTCCGTACGTGTGGAATGGACCATAGTGAGAGGCCACCCAGCAGAGTAGGAGACGAGGTAAGTGCAGGCACACGGGTTCAGTGACACCCACTGCAACACAGCGGAGACACAGCTCTGCTGAACGAGCGTCTGTGTCCTGGATACGAGTACAAATCAATGGTTTCTTTCTTCATTTAGATTCAGCAATATTTTATTGTCATTATGCTATCGAATACTTCTGAACAGTGTGCTGAGTTGAAGTGCATGTGATTCACGTGTTTGTTGCCGGTTTACACCACTGTACCTCTGTCTTAGGTTTAGAACGACCCCATGGGTGTGAAATTTAGGTGCATATGATAAGATGCTGTTAGAAACTGAACTTGCATGGAGCAGGTGGGAAAAAGCACAATTTTACATCTTACTACTTTAGTACATATGGATTCTAGGGTTTTAAATTCTAGGTGTAATTGTGGAATAGTCTGTGGAAAATGCCTTCTTTTGAAAGTAGAAAAATTTTAATCCTCAAAAGCATTGTGGAAAAAGCAGAACCAAGATGGAGAAAAAGTCTTCTGGGCTGATTCTAGTTGAAGACTCTCACTTCATGTGAAATGTGTATTTTTGGAGAGTCTAAGTAGTGATTTTGCATTATGGGGGGTGTGTGTATGTGTGTGTCTAACACTGTTTTGGAACTCAGGTACTGTTTTGTAGTTTTCTGAGTGACATGTTTCCTCAAGTGAATTAAAACTGTTGGAGCTCAGTACTCTTTCTATGCTTAAAGATGCATAAATGCCCTAGGATGGTCAGCACAGAGGATGTGTGCATGACCATCTATTAAAAAAATGGAATTTTGTCTGTTAGGTAGAGATTTTATAAATTATCAGGCAGGAATCTCCTCATATTTCAGACATGAAACTGAAATGATAAAAATGATGAATCGCATGATTTCTTTCTTTAAATAGTGAGACTTTGTTTTTGAAATAATGATTCATTGACAAAAATATGTGTATGCAACTTTGTCAGGGGCATAGTCATCGCCTTAGTTCTCAAGTGAACTCAATTTTCTGTACAGGAAAATTACTAATTTTAAAGTTTATCTTGATGTTGGTGAGCAGGGAAAGTTTTTCATGTAGATGCCTCTATATGATGTTTAACATGAGAAATCAGTCCTTTTGTACTTGGGGTCCTTATCTGTTAAGATCATTATTGAGGACCTTGGGAAAGTGAGAAAGACTTTTGAGTAGCAAAAGATGTGGCAGATTTCATGCAGTAAAACGTATGCATTTTAATTAAAGAGATGTCCTCCTGAACCATACTTTCACCTTACTGATTATCTTAGAATTAAAGCATTCTTGATCTGGTTCCTCTGTCCGCAGTCCATTAAAAGCAGCCCTTAGGAAACGCACAGGACCTGGCAGCTGAGCAGTTCTGCACAGGGCAGCAAGGAGCACCGTGGGTGCCTGAGGCCACCGTGGCCACTGAGCCAGGATGCGGCTTCCACCCTGGGGTATCGTGCAGGTAGTCTTGTGCCATCTAGACTAGCTAGAACGGAGTAGATGGTCTCTGAGGAGGAGGGTGTTTATTCACTTCAGAGGAACTTGCTTCCCTGTGGTTAGGGGCCTGTCTTGGGGGAACCTCTCCTTATACCTGGAGCACGAGCCCCTCTTCCCTGCAGATAGTTTGTAGAAGGGACCAAAGCCAGGTGCTGTGGTCACATGACTGGGAAGTGGCCATCCAGTCTGGCCTGAGTCTGAGGATGTTGGCAGGGGGTGGGCTTCAGCCCCATGTGCTGGACCCCAGGGGCCTGCGAACAGATGCTGGACCACTGACTCCTTTCCTTGTACTGGAGACTCCTGTCATGTTTGTCAGAGGAATAAACTTCAGGAGGAGCAAAGGAAAAATAAGACAACACACCTTGACAAGTATTCTGCAACGCTGAATGAGTTTGGGAGCTGTCTTATTGATGATTTTGGAAAGAGAAGCCCTACCAGGTGCAGGCCCACCAGCAGGCAGCTGTGTGTGAGGCCCTCCCTGGCTAGAGCGGGCCACCAGTCCCATTGGTGGAATAACTGCTGCCTTCTACTCTTTTTGAGGCTGCTCGCCCCCAAGGAAGAGAACGCACATGAGAAAACACCAGAAACTGATTTGTTATTGTTGACAGTACTTGTGGTAATTAATATTTTCTAAAAGTAGCTCATCACTTTGGAAGTCAATGGGTTCTCAAGCATGTTAATTATTGAGTTTATAGCAAAGGGGAAAAGTGTACTTCGAAGCCAGCCCGCGCACCAGCGGCATTTCAGAGAAAACAATGGGGTGCCTTCAGTGAGGCTGGTTCGAGGGCTTGCTGCCAGGCAGAGGGACATCTGAGAAGCTTGCATGCTGACATGTCAAGTGGCTCGAGAACTTAAATCTTGATTGACTCTTAATTAACAGTGAGGTATTCTCCTCTAAAGATCAGTGTTTACAGGACTCAGATGTCACTGTGGGTTTTCTGTTTCTGTTTGTTTCCAGTTTCAGCCACTGAGCCTCTTGCTAACTGTGTCCTCCGGTCCTTCGTGCCTTCCCCGATTGCTGCTCCGTCGCGGGTTCCCTCTGTGGCCGTCCCTCCGTTGGACACACGTGTCTTTCTCCCACAGATGTCAGTCTCAGGGAAGCCCATGCCTGTGCCATGTAGGTAGCAGGTGCTCAGTCACCACTCGGCTTGTATGTGTTTACTTTTTGAATTTTTAACTGCCAGCTCTAAATCACAGTTGTCTTGATTCCCTGGGAAACTTTTCACTAGGCTCAGTGGCAGACTGGGGTGCTGGGTGGGACCAGGAGAAGCTGAGAATGGGGAGAGGGACTTCGCCAAAGGCAGAAATGGCAGCCTTGAGTTTTCTATGACTCGGTTTAATGAACTAATTGGTTAGGCGGGTGGATATTTCCCCTGGTGCCATCAGAGTTCCATGCGGCCTGGCTGGACTCCCACAGGGGCGGTGGCCACACCCGTTCCCCTGTAGCAGGTATGAGCCGGACACGCAGGGACGTGGGGAGGAGGCCTGTGGAGCCTCTCTGCAAGCGGAGTCATGAGTTCATCTCGGTCTTGGGTGTTTCCAGTTCCAGCTTCCCCGCAAACTGCAAAGAGGAGACTCGGCTTGCCCTGCTGCTGGAGCATGCTCAGGAGCTGGTGTGGGTTTGTTTTTGTGTTGACATGAAGAATGACCTGGCTGTTGGAGGGCTGGAGGATCCGGGGCTGTGGGGCAGTAGCGCTTGTTTGGGGCTAATATGTTCCTTCTCGAATTAAAAAAAAATTCTTGTGGCTGATGCTGTAGGGGAGGAAAAGTAATTTTCCCTTAACGCTTCTGAGATCTTGGCTAAGACCCCTGTAATAAAAGGCAGATTAACAAGAGGAAAAGAAGCAGAAGTTCATTAACATGTGTGCTTCCCGTGCTCATGGGAGATGAGTCGACAGACTCCTCCTGGGGCTTGGAGCTAAGGCTGAATCACCACCCTGGGTGGGGAGGGGGCCTGTGGGCTGCTGAGGGGTCAGTCAGCGGCTTAGCCAAGATGGCTGGGTCCACAGAAGAACAAATGGGAAGTGTGATAGTTTGTGACAGTCTGTCTGGGTGTGGCACCCACAACTGGGCTCCTCTCCTGTGACAATAGTCGGGTTCCTGGTCTGTGAAACTTGTGGGAGGGGATCAACGCCTGAGTTCCTTTTAGAGGGAGAAAGGCAGAGAGGGGAGTTCAGAGAAGGCCTCTCCCTGCATCTGCTCTTTCTCAGATGCCTTCAGCTCACCGAAGTGGCACATTTGGAGGTGGTGTGTTTGGAACTCCTACAGTGCTGTTTTGGGGTGGGGATTTCTGGTCTACTCCAGTGCCAATTACCTTTAAGCAGGAAACACAGTACTTGCTTTGGATTCACTGCTGCCCTTCCCTGACCTTTCCTCCGAGGGTCCCCCATAAAGACCGGATGCTCTAGGCCCGGCTGTTTTCCCAGTTACACATCATCTCAGTGTTTTTCTTGGCCCAGGACCAAGAGTCCAGGCGCTGCTCTCATTATTAAAATCGTTCCTCTAAGACACACACCTGCCTCAGAACTTCTGATCAGCATGAAATGTATGCAGCCAGTGCTACTACACCAAGTTGACAGAGTTCTAAAGAGAGGAGAAATTTCACTTTTCATTCGCTTGTGTGGTTGCATAGATACAAATATAGTTTCCATTCAGCTTTCAAAATCTCGAAAGTCTCTTTCAGGCTTTGTTGGAAATCGCTGGTCTTGCGCCACGACTTCACTCTCCTGCATCAAAGGGGGCATTGGAGAAAGATAAGTGAGCTCTTCAGGTCGGAGAGCTGGGCTTCTGCCTAGCTCTCGAACACTTTCCCGTTACATCACTGACGAAGGCCTAGATGGTTGGCTGTTCGCTGGCTATGCAGACTGATGACATTTTTCATTGTTTTGTTCCAGTGTTGCCTCAATTAACTTTAAAAAATAATATCTACCAGAAACAGATCAATTTAGGGCCCTGTCTTTGCATCCCAATGGAATTATTTATTCTGAAATGCTTTCTATGGAAGGCTCCCTTTGTTGGTGGAGAAATAGTACATAGTTTCAGAGTTGGAAACTCTGTAACAGTGTTTTTGCCACACAGATAAGTACCTGATACAACATCCACTTCTGAAACGTTACTTTATACACACCTTATCAGAAACACACTGTCAGGTATTAGACTCATGTTGAGGGAAAGTGACCTCCCCTTACCAGTGACGGAGGGGCCCGTGATGGCCTGGTGACAAGTTAACAGCACCCTCGCTGGCCTCATGCCCAGGCAGGACTCGTGCCAGCCTCGTCCTTGGACTACTTAAGCTAAGGTGGTCTCCCCCAGGGCGCCGCATACCTTGATCCCTAGCAGGTGTCAGTGCTGACCTCTTACTGTCTGCTTTGCATCTTCTCCCCCTTCCAGATCCTTCCTTCCACCCTGAGAGCCTGCCTCTCTGCCCTGGAAACATTGCCAGATTCATGGGGGTGTCTAATAAGTATTTACCAATGAGTTAATGAGTGACGTGGTTGTTGTAAGAAGAGAACTCGTGTTGGTTTTCCGGGACTCCTGCATGAGCTCAGGCTCTGCTTGTGGTAGGCTGCCCTGTTTTGTCGCTTATGATCGTGACTGATGATGAGTGAGGATTTCTAAATCCCTGTGCGTGTCTTTCTGTGTTGCGTGCATGCTGTGTTGTGTATGTGCTCTGTTGTGTTGTGAGGAACATTCAGTTTTGGAATAATGTAATTGATAGAAAGATGGGAAAAAACTGTGTTTCATCAGAGAACACTGCCATAGAGACCCTCTCTCAAGGGTATCTAGAAGAAACACTCAAAACATGTTTTTGTAAGAAGCCAAAGCAAATCCTGAGAACTTGTTGAAATTAAGTATAAATAAAAAGCTCACGCCCCAGCCGGTGAGGCTCTGTTGGTTGGTGTGTCCTCCTGTGAACCACAGGGCTGTGGTTTGGATCCGCAGGAGTGGCAACCAACCAATGGATGTTTCTCTCCCCACCCCTCCCTCCTTTCCTCTAAAATTAATAAGCATGTCCTTGGGGAAAATTTAAACAAAGTTTACATAAGGGTCACTTCACAAAACAGTAGTGGTTTACCCCAATTTTCTAAATAGTTGGAGAATGAGATTCTCTTGACCATCACACTGAAGAACTAATTTATTTCAGGAAATTGGCATCTGTCACTTCCCATTGTCATCCAGCTGTGACAAGGGGTGTAATTTATGTGCAGACATTTTGCATCTTCAGATCTTACTTTTAGCTAGAACATGCCATGTCCAGCTCAATGCCTTACACCCAAGTGGACATCTTCATAGTTCAGGTGGAAACTGTCGTGCTGGCTTACCTGGCCACGGAGGGTGGATGCCAACAGGTGAATGACAGGACACTGAGGGCGGTGTCTTGCTTTGAGAGAGCGAGAAAGATTCCTCCGTCTGGTTTGCAGCTTCCAGTGCCAGTCCTGTCTTCCTCGTGCCTGTCAGCCGACAGTGGCCTGGATGTGCACCCCGTGTTCCCCCCTCTCCTGCCGGCACCAGCTGGCTGCAGGGTCCCTCCTCAGAGCCCTCCGCAGACCCAGCAGCTCTTGCCCTCCACTGTCCGCCCCGGCAGCCTGGCCCTGGGATGAAAATTGGAGTCTCGAAATTATATATACCTGAAATAGTAAAAACTTATGCAAGTCAGTGTAGTGTTTAGTTTGGTAGTTTGTGGCCATATAATTGTATCATCCTTTATTTATTTGTGGATAATCAGAGATTTTTTGATTTGGAGTTTAAAATTCTGAAAGGTGTAATTGGTTAAACTGTGTATGCAGGTGGCTGAGGTTTCTCTTTGCTAGTGAGGAGTAAGCCAAGGGCGCAGGCTTCTGGGAACTTCTCTCGACCTGGTTCTGTATGGAGATAATGAGGGAAGGGAATTTCTGCTGTTGGGAGAGCAGAGTGACTGCCGTGGCAGCCAGCTGGCGCTACATTCTCAAATGCAATCCCATCTTTATTACCTTTGATGTTTTGGTAGTTGTGTCTGGCAACAAAATGCACGGCCTTTACAACTTATAGAAAATTACCGAGGAAACCACCCTAATCTGAAAACACTCAGCACTTCACCTCCTCTCTCTAAGCGTTTTTGTTATGTTAACTCTGTCCTGTGTCAGTGCAGTGGGACAGCTGTGCTGTGATGCCACCTGCCAGTTGCCACCGTGGAGCGGGGGATATCCGTGTCACTTGGGGAGCACCCCGCTCTGCCCCACACTGGGACTTCCTCTGCCTCTGCCTCCTCTCTCTGTGTGTCTCTGCCCCGTGTTTCTCTCTGACGCCTCTCGCCCCCTCTGCCCTGTATATCTGTATCTTCCCACATCCCTCTCCCTCTCTCTCCCCCCCTCCCCCTCTCTATCTGTCCTTCTCCATCCCTCACACTGTAACATAGGCTCAGCTTTGGCACTTCCAGCTGGCGGATTTTAACACTTGGCTGTGAAACTGGCAGGAAGGGGGCCTGGTTACTACCGAAATGCAGAGCATTGAAATAGAATGTGAGCTACTCTTGCATCTTGTTCTGTATTTTAATCTAAATACAAAAGACAAGTGTCAAAACAGAATCACTGTTAATTACTCCACAATGTCTGGAGTTTGGTGCTTCCTGTCAGAGCTCCAGTGGTTTCAAGTGTCTTGGCCTGGACCCACTGGGGATTTGCCGACTTTTCCACCAAACATTGAGAAGTGCTGCAGGATGAACAAAGGACCCATTAATGGTAAGCTCTCTGCTAAAAATGCCCAAATCATGTGGAATGACAATTTTTCAAAGTTATCCATAGACAAGTCTCGATTCAATGAATTTTTATCATCCTTCTCTGGTGGGTGTTTGAAACGTGGTGGGGAGAAGGCAGAGCCTGTGTTCTGAGAGCAGCCAGGGCCCGAGAGGCAGGGGTGCGGGTCGGGGGGAGGGGTGCCCGAGTGCACCCGTCAGCCTGCATGCACCTGTGTGTGCCTCCCTGTGCTGGATCATGCTCTGCGTACCGTTGTTTTTCACTCAGTGTTAGGTTGTGAACATTTCCTCATTTTAAAAATATTCTGTGAAGAGGACTTTGGCAGCCTTTGCGGTATGGATAGCGCTGTGGCGTTGCTGGTTTGTGGAGAGCTGAAGGTGGCTCTGGTGGGGCCTAAGAAGTAGGCAGGGTCGGGGGGTGGTCGTGTGAGCCTGGAAGTCGTCTGTTATTTTCTAAAGCTGCTGACAAATTACCCCAGACTGTGTGGCCTCTATAAGTGAATATTTATCACTGTACAGTTTTTATGGTTGCAGCTTCCGAGGCAGCTTTGCTGATGGTTCTGGCTTAGGGTCTCTCCTGGAGGTCAAGATGTGGCCAGGCTGCACTCACCTGAAGGCTTGACTGGGGCTACAGGTTCCCTGTCCAGGATGGTGTGTCCAAGATGTGCCCTGCCCTCAGGGGGCTGTTCCTGGGAGGCCTTAGTTCCTTGCCACCTGTGGTGGGTCATGTGAGGTCAGCCAGGGGAGTGGGACAGTGAGAACTTCCAGGAGGAGGGATGGATTCAAGTCATGAAATTGACCTCAGAGAGCCAGTGCAATTATCCAGACTTTCTGCTTATGTTTATATATGTAATTATTTTGCATACCTAATACAAATGGTTAGATATTGAAAGTAAGTATAATATTGAAGAATGGGAAACAGTGTGGATTGGGAGCATGAAGGGATGAAAGGTCAGTTTTGGGAGGGGAGTGAAAGGTACAGAGCAGGTCTGTGGGGAGTGGGTGCACAGCAGGAGTGTGGTGGCCTTGGAGCTAAAATGAGCTTGTCCTGAAGCTCAGCTGTGGGTGGGCTCGGCTCCCCAGGATGCTTTGCTCATCTCTCCACAGTGCTCACTGGGCAGTGGCGTGGGGGTCAGCTCCACTCTGCAGGTGCTCCTCACTCATGCTCACTAACTTCCAGGACCCTGTTAGCTGGGGCTGCCGCTGATTTGGTAGGTCACCTTCCCTTCTTGGCCTGTCTTGCCCCAGGCCTCTGGAGGTTGTCTGTGCTTGCTCTGCTCCAGAGGCCTGCAGCTCATCCTCCCTGTGGCTTCTTCAGGGTGGGTCAGCCCTGAGCAGTAGCTTAGCTATTAACTGGTTTTAGGTACAAAATGTTCTAGAAGCAGAAGGACAGTAAGTATGTTTGTGGTGCCTGACTGGGAAAAATGCTTTACAGTCAGTACTGTGGGGGAAGGAATAGGATGGAAATGATGAAAATTAAAATAAAGAGAACATTGGGTTTAAGGATATTGTTCTAAAGTTAGAGTATGAAAGGGGTCTCAGGAGAATGTGGGAGATAAAGGGACTGGAGACAGAGGGAAAGGAGACAGTGTGGACTTACCACTCTCAGCTGGATTCCCAGAGAAACTTCTAGAAGGCAGCTTCCCAGAGGCACTCAGGTGACGGTCCCCAGCTGGTAGTGTTCTCAATGTTCACTAGGCCCTGGTGTGGGGAGCAGCCCCACTCTGCATGGGCTCCTCATGTGTGCTGATTTCCAGCTCGCATTTCGATGCCTCCCCTCGCTGGAGCCAGCAGATGCTGGGTCCCCTCGTCCCCGCAGCCCAGTCCGTTTCTGCTGGAGCACTGGGCACACTGCAAGGCCTTTTTTCTCCTGTGGCTGGGAGATGCCAAACAGAAAGTCGTCCTTTTGCAGACTTAACACACACAGGTCAAGAGCCTTGTTGTTTTGCCTTTGAATCCTAATGCATCACAGAGACCTCCCACAGAGAGGGCAGAGGGCTGTCAATGAGTGATTGGTGAGTGAATGAATGAATGACTCCCTCAGGATTTACTCCTTTTTAATGAAGCAAGGTTATAGATGTTTTTTCACAGTATCTGTTAATACAGTTATTTGGTGTCTACTTTGCATAGCACTGCCCCTTGTGTGAATGCAAAGCAGTAGCATAATTCTTTTCCTCTGAGAGCTTTCTTTACAACTAGGGAACAAACCATGAGCGTGATGAACCACCAGGAGGGAGGATGCATCGTGACCGGAGGTGGAGTCAGGTTACCAGACAGTGAGCAGCAGATGTGAGGTTGTGGAGAACCGTGGGTCTGGGCTAGACTGTCAGGCTCCCCTGAGCTGCTTTGGAAGAATAGTGATTGCTTGGGCCCAGGACCTATTAAGTGAGAATCTTGGGCTCTTGGGAGGCCCAGAAATCTGTGCTTCAGACAATGCAGGGAGACAGAATCAAACCCTCTTTAGGTGGTTACGATCTACCAGTTGGCAACCACAGATGCATGGACAGGTGCTGAGGTGGCAGGAAAGACGTGGATGTGGGAATGCACTGCTACGAGGGAAGTGAGATTCTGATTCTTATTATTTACGGCCAAATGGATTCAAGGTTATGGTTTGTTTTAGTAGAAATTGCAGGTTATTTTGGAGGAGGTTGCAGGGATTTATAACTAAGCTGAGTCCATACAAGGCACAAATCAGGCCTGGAGCAGGTGTCAGAATGGGAGGGCATAGTTCCCTGCTGTAATGCACGCTGTCCTCCTGATTCCCATTTTATTTTCACTATTGAAGGACCTTGGCCATGCATGACCACATTGTGGGGGAGTGTAAGTCACACAGAGTTAATAAACTGGCCTGTATTAGAGAACCTGGCATGCGGTGCTCTCAGGAGAGGGCAACCCCGATGCTCTGGGTTCTTGCTGGGAGAGGCCTCACGTGGAAACAGGGAGGAGACCTGTGCCTGGCCTCCAGGACCTGGCTGAGGACGTGGGTGGAGCTGGGAGTCAGGGTCCTGCCAGCCTCAGGAACACGGGTGGGGAGAGGGTGTCTGAGCAGCATGGGGCCCTGACTCCCATGCAGAGGTGGAGACGTAGGCCGAGTGCTTTTTCCATGCCCTTCCCACCTGGGGTCAGCACTGGGTTTCATCCAGCCTCTGCCCCTTAAAAGTCATGTCACTTGCATCCCTGGCAGAGTTTCCTTAGCTGGAATTGTGTTCTCAGGCCTATAAGCTTCTGGGTTTGTAAAACTGAAGTGAATCCACTGATATGACACAGTGGGCTGTGGTGCTGGAGGAGAAACAGGGTCTTCTTACACTGCCTGGGGGGTCACCGCCAACCCCAGACTCAGGCTCCCCTTGCCCCGTCCACTCAGCCCCGTGTCTCCCTTACTGCGGTGCTGTTCCTTCTCCCTGATGCGGAGACCCCTTCTAGATGAGATGATGTCCCCAGCTGTTCCTTCCTGCTCTACTTGCTGCACTGGCCGCCATCTAATGGCTGCCTGCTTCTCATCAGTACCCTGGGTGACCCTATAGACCAGGGGCCCCCACCCTCTGGGCTGGGCCTGTTCGGAACTGGGCCGCACAGCAGGAGGTGAGCTTGAGTGTAATGCGGGGGAATCATCCTGAAGCCATCTCCCCTCTCCCCCTGCCCTTCGTCTGTGGAAAACTTGTCTTCTGTGAAACCGGTCCCTGGTGCCAAAAAGGCTGGGGACCACTGCTGTAGACGGAGTGTATCCCACACTCCTGCAGGAGCAAGGTTTTCTGGGGAGAGCCAGGGGGCTCCCAGCTTGCCCCCAGACTTGGGCAGGGGTGGGAGACGGAGCTGGGAGCAGCCCCAGGGGCACTTCACCTTTGACTTGTGCTGTCTGAGTGGCGCACGCCAGACCCGGGGGCAGAAAGGGGCAGTGCGGGTGGAAGTAGCCGTTTTCAGTCTGCCTCTTGAGTGGTGCTCCAAGTGGAATTTGACCTTTGTTGTCTGCTGTGGTCCTCAAGGCCAGCCAGGAAATATCTGGGGCTCATGATGAGACAGGATAGTGGGAAGCTGTGAAAATTCCTCGGCAGGTGGAATAGGGGAACTGAGACACAGCTGAACACTATGACCGAGCAATTTACAGCCAGGTGCAGATGGTCACCAGAGTGGGAGGCCCTGAGTGCCTGGCAGGGGGCAGAACTGGGAAAACAAGGACCTTACTTCCTGGGTAACCTTTCCTCCCTGGAGAGAACATCCAGGCCTCCACTGTATTTCAGCTCTAGGCCAAGACAAGTAGCAAAACCAGGTGGGCAACACCAGAACCAACCGCAATGACTAAAGATCCTCTTCCCTGGCCCGGACCAATCAGTGGAGACCACGTCCCTGAAAGGGCACACCTGGAGAACTGATGCACGTTCTGCTGAAACCTCCCCTGAGACCTCCCCTTAGATCCCTGCCTGAAAGAGAGAGATAAAAGCCTCAAGACAAAGAACCCAGCCCACGAGCTCTCCCTCTGGGGAGTAGCCTGGGCCTTTCCCATTCCCTCCTTCTTCCCTGACTTCTTTCTTCACAGGCCTACATCACCTAAACCCTAAGGCAGTGGGCATCTGGCAGCTTGTCCCAGGCTGATCCCCAAACTTGCCCCCAACACCCCATTTTCTCTGACTTCCCAGTGAGCTAAGGCAGCCCAGCCTGGGCTCTCCTGTTGCTCCTTTTATGCTAGGCCCTTCCTTGTTTCACTGTCCCCAGTCCTAATAAACAGATCCTCAGAGTCACCTGACTCATGCTGTGAAATCTTTCCTACACAAAGTCAAGAGCCCACACACTGCAGCTGGCCCTGGGCAGACCCGCTCAGGGTCAGGCCCCCATCTGGTAACAATGACGACATGCAGGAACCCTATCAGGCATGTAATTAAATCAGCCCCATGGATCTCACATTCCTTTCTCCTGTGGAGTGCCCTCGTCTTGTCCCCCTGCACCTGTCTCGCTGTCCTGGGGGCAACTTGAGAAGCCTGGGGAAGGACCGAGAAGCCACGAGCCTGTGAAAGACACGGTGGCCCCCTCCGTCCCCGGGACTGCAGGGAGGGCCGCTGCCTTCCGTCGGCCTGGGTGGTGGGGACACGCAGCTCTGGGGCTCCTCTGGCATCTGCAAGTTGTGTGTGTCCCTGTGTTTTCCTGTCACATCCCACAGAGAATGCCTCATTCCCCTGGGGAGGGTGGGATGGTGGAAGGAATGAGCCAGAATTGAAGGAAAAACATAGCAACTGAAATAATAGCAGAATTCATTGAGATGATTATCAAAAAATTTTCTCTTGCTGGCCTGGGGTGATTTACAAGGCTGACACTGAGGAGACTTTTAGAATAAGCATAATTAAAAAAAAAGATTTAATGACAACATTTTTGAAATGGAAACTCTCTGGAATGGTGTAAATGCCATCTCATAACTTCATGCCACCGGGCACTCCCTCCCTGTGGACCCTGACCTGGAGCTGGACCTGGACACGGCTGGTGTCCTGGCTCCATGTGGATTTCGCTTAGGGCGGCCAAGGTCACTCCGGATTCCTGTGGGTGAGACCATCTGGGGCCCAGAGCTGTGTCCACGGGGTGTCTGCCTCCAGGCCCCTGGGTGATGCCGCCCTGGCGTCCCCTGAGTTGGGACGTTAGAAACCTGCGCAGAGACCTGCTGGTCCACAGCAGTCCTGTCCCATCTTACAAGACGTGTGTCTCAGGGCTCTGCCTCACGCGCACTTCACCTTGCTCCCTGGACCGTCTCTGCTTTCCTTTTGAAGCAGCTCAGAACACACATCTGCTCCTTCTTCCCTGGTGGCCCATTAGATACTGGGGACAGCCGCCAGCCTTCCCTTCCCCGTGTGAATGAGACTTTCTTCAGGCACACTTCCTACCCGACACAGACTCTCACACTTTGCTGTCTTAGTCCCTCTTTAGGCAGGGCTTCTGCATGTTCACTGAAAATTAATCTATAAGATATCTCATGTTCAAAACCCATTTTATTTTTGTTAGAAGGCCTGATGGGAGAGCAGCAGAGAGTGTACAGCCCTCTGAGCCAACCACGTGGGTGCAGACATAGCTCCACACCTGCACCCGCAGCCTTGGTGCCCCGGCCGCACAGTGGGTCACCGACAGCGCCCGCTCCGCAGGGCCGCTGTGTGTGTGACCTGCTCGGAGACGCCCGGCACTCACTGCATTTCAGGAGCGTCCACGTGCTGGCATTTTTTAACCCATCATTTCCAGAGCCAGAGTCATCCGTGTTCATCCCTGTTAGGCATAGAGTACAATCTCTCCTCATTTGTCCTTCTTTTTATCACTGTAAGCCTTTTCCGTTTACAGGTGTAAACACAGGGAGATCCTTCCCCCGTTGGGCCCAGAGAGCAGAGATCGCTGGACCGTGTATAAGGACAGAGCTCACAGGGAGAAACACGAGGACAAGACAGAAACCTAAAGTAGGAAAGCCAGCTCCATTGTTGGCGAGTATCGAGCTTTTTAGAAAGCTGGGTGTGGTCAGATAGCCCAGTTCCCTAACATTTACTTAGCATGTCTGAAGTTTTGCGCATAGCTCTCTCTGGACAATGTTACTGAGAACTCAGAGGATTGAGAATTTTGAAAAATGGGCAACACATAGTGGCCATCCTTAAACAGTACAAGGGACTGACCATAGGAAACTGTGGTGCATTTGCATTATCTTTGAGGCTGGGAAACAGCATAAAGGCTCCAACAGTCTCTTTGTGCTTGTTGATTAGTACACAAGGTGGGGTATCATGAACCCTGGTTTTGGGGAAAGGCAATCAGGCCACATCAGTTTACTTTCCTTTGGCTATCAAGTGGCTGTGATTCTGCACAAGGAGAGAAGCGTTCAGACCAACCTCGGGAAGCCATTTCAGTGGTGTCTTGTTGTGACATGCTTGCCAGCCAGGCGGGTCGTG